AGCGCCCTCAAACTCACTACATAATGTTTTCTAGGCGTAAAGCACAAAGTTTTACCAGCACTTTGGAATTCGCTGACACATGCACCACTTTTATGTTTTTCCTTGAAAACTCCTTTTCCTTAATTCTAATTAATACTACCTGATTAATACTACATTCATAAACATGACTTTTCATTTTTTGTATCACCATTTTTATCAGAGTATGACTTTTAATATAAACAATCGTGCTTGAAGTCATATCTCGTCATAACCATGGGAAAAACACCATGTAACCGCAAGCCATGCACCTACGTTTACGTTTTCCGATCGCCTTCAAACTCGCTAAAAAGCATTTTCTAAGCCGAAAGCACTAAATCCTACCACCACTTTGGCATTCTTTGACACATGAACTTGCGTTTGTCTTTTTGCTTGAAAACTGCTTTTCCTTAAGTCCTAGCGCCTTCTATCTCGCAAAATAGCGTTTTCAAAGCGTAAAGCACACACGCGAGCAAGCACATTCAAATTGTTGAAATTACAGTATGTTATGGCATTTTTACTAACAAATACTAACATATTGAACGTGGTTCATTTTGACTTTTTATCATCTTTATATTAAATTATGAAATTTAACATAAACAGCCATGCTTGATGTCGTGTCTCATAATAAACTCGACAATCAAACATCATGTGACAGCAATCCAAGCACTTTTCTTTAAGGTCCTATCGCCTTCAGACTAGCTAATTGCGTTTTCCACGCATAAGGCACAGAGTCCTGGCAGCATTTTGGAATTCGTTGACAAATGCACCTGCGTGTATGTGTTTGCTTGAAAACTGCTTTTCCTTAACTCCTAGCGCCTTCAAACTACTTGAAGTTCGTTGAAAAGACAGTATGTACGTAATTGATGAATACTAACTAAAGTTTTTCTTTTTTTTTTCTTTTACTTTTAAATTTTTTTTTATCCAACTATGAATTTTAATGTAAACAATCATACTTGAAGTCATGTTTAATCATAAACAAATGAAAAACATTATGGAACAACAAGGCATGCTCATAACTTCAGGTGTTTGCTTGTAAACTCATTTTCCTTAAATCCTAGTGCCTTCAAACTCGATAAATAGCGTTTTCTACCCATAAAGCACAAAGTCCTGCTAGCACTTTGGAATTTGTTGACACATGCACCAGCGTTCATGTGATGTCATGGGAGCAAATTAAAATTCTTTGAAAAGACAGAACAGTGGGGTATTTGATAAATATGCATATGCACATGGGTTTATGTTTTTGCTTGAAAACTGCTTTTCCTTAAGTCATAGCACCTTCACACTGGCTGAACCTTGGAATTTTTTGAACAGATTGAACACGATTTTTCATTTTCGTAGTTTTTTTTATCTGACCTTTTTATCAAATTATCAAATTGAATAACAATAAGCAATCATGGTTGAAGTCATTTTCCATCATTAATACTTGAAAAAAATCATGGGCCTGCGTTTTTATGTTTGCTGCGTTTATGTGTTTGTCTTTTCCTTAATTCCTAGTGCCTTGAAACACAAAATAGCATTTTCTACACGTAAAGCACATAATCGTCCGAACAAATTAAAACTCATTGAATTCATTTAGACATTGTGTTACTTCACATTTGATGAATACTAACTTATTAAGTTAGTCAAATGTGAAGTAACACACTGTCTAAATGTAAATGTCTAAATGTTTCACATAAACATGTGGGAAAAAAAACATGTAACAGAAATCCAAGCAACTGCGTTCATGTGTTTGCTTGAAAACTCCTTTTCCTTAATTCCTAGAGTTTTCAAACTCTCTAAATAGCAAAAAAGAGTCAAGCCAGCTCTTTGGAATTTGTTGGCACCTGCGTTTAGGTTTTTGCTTGAAATCTCCGTTTCATGAAGTTTTAGCGCCCTCAAAGTCCCTAAATAGCGTTTTCTACCCTATCAGCAAATTCGCGTGCAAGCACTTTGGAAATAGCGTTTTCTACGGGGAAAAGACAAAGGCTTACATGCACCTTGGAATTCCCTGACACATGCACCTGCGTTTATGTTTTTGCTTGAAAACTGCTTTTCCTTAAGTCATAGCACCGTCAAACTCGCTAAATAGAGTTTTCAAAGTGTAAAGCACCCAGTCCTGCCAGCACTTTGGAATTCGTTGAAACAGGCATCTGTGTTTATGTGTTTTCTTGAAAAACTACTTGTTTTGAAGTCGTAGCGCCTTCAAACTCGCTGAATAGCGTTTTCTATTCGTAAAGCACCCACTCCTCCATGCAGTTTGAAATTCGTTGAAAAGACACTATGTTATGGCATATTTGATAAATACTAATTTATTAAACATGATTTTTCATTTTTTGACTTTTTACCTTTATTATTATGAATTTTAACATAACCAATCATGCTGTAAGGTCATTTCTTATCATGCACATGAAAAACATCATGCAACAGCAAGCCACGCACCTGCGTTTATGTGATTGCTTGAAAACTCCTTTTCCTAGCGCCTTGAATCACAATACATAGAGTTTTACGCTAAATAGCGTAAAGCTCACACTCATTCAATCAAACTGAATTTCTATGAAAAGGATCTCTGATAAATAATAATTTATAACACGAGTTTGATTTATTTATTTATTTATTTATTTATTTTTACATTTTAATCATTTTTTAATCCAGTTATTAATCTTAATAAAAACAATCATGTCTGAAGACATTTCGCATCATATCCATGTGAAAAGCATCATGAAAAGCAATTCGTGCACCTGCGTTTATCTGAAAACTATTTTTGCTTAAGTCTTAGCACCTTTTAATTCGCTAAGTAGCGTTTTCAACGCGTACAGCCCACACGCGCGCAAGCACGTTGGAATTCGGTGAAAAGATAGTGTCTTATGGCATATTTGATAAATATTAACATGACAGATTTTTTTTCATTTATTTTTCATTTTTTCATTTTGATTTTTTAATCACCTTCAAATTATGAAATTTAATATAAACAATTATGCTTGAAGGCATTCCTCACCATAAACACGTGAAAAACTTCATGTAACAGCAGCCCTTTACAGAGCCCTTACAGAAGATTACTACAGTTTTTGTTACATGTAGAAAAATGCCGTTTTTTAGACGCAAAAAAACTTCAGTATTGCAGTATATAATAACAGATGTCATTTGAACATAGTTCAGTATTCTATAGTGCTAACATAGTTCTACAACTGCAGTATTACTGCAATACAGCTGAAGAAATCCTTCAATAGCTCTGAAGTACTAAGAAAATGCAACTGATATACAACTGCTGTGATACTTTAATACATAATAAATGGAATTTCTTTTGGATTTAGTCTGGAAAAAACACAACAAAAAACCCAAAAAGAATCTGAGAAATTCTCAAGTTTCAGTTGCCACTTTTTCACCACAGGCATATGGTAGGCTTAAACTAAATCTTGAAGTGTGTTCATGATGTCATTTCTTCAGGACAATGGTGCAACACAGAACAGTATGCCAGACTACATAAAGTGTCAGATGAGTGCAAGACAATAAATAAACAGAACAGGACAATAAATACAAAGAATGAAAAATACACAGTACATGGGCTGTAAACTGTAAACTACACAAGCACAGCACAAGTGTAGCAGCAGAAAGGAGTTCCATAATATAGAAGTGCTAAGTCATACTGGGTTAGGTGTTTGACTAGCCAAGGTGAGCATTGAGAGGCAGCAGGGTGTTGAGTAATCTGACTGCCACAGGGAAGAAACTGTTGCGGAGTTTGCTGGTGGCATGCATGCTCCTGTACCTTCTGCCAGATGGCAGAAGGGTGAAGAGTCCATGAAGGGGGTGAGAGGGGTCATCCCCAATACTGGTGGCTTTGCGGATGCAGCGGTTTTTGTATGAGGTGTTGATGGTGGGCAGAGAGATTCCAAAGATCTTTTCAGCTGTTCTCACAATCCGCTACAGGGTCTTGCAGTCGGAGACTCCCGTACCATGCGGTGAGGCAGCTGGTCAGGACGCTCTCTATCATCAATCTGTAGAATTAAGTGAGGATGGGTTGGGGGAGTTTGGCTCTCTTCAGCCTCCGCAGGAAGTAGAAGCGTGGCTGGGCCTTCTTGGCTAGGTGGCAGGTGGTGTTGAGAGTCCAGGAGAGGCCCACTGTTATGTGCACACCAAGACACTTGGAGCTTTTGACTCTCTCCACAGTTGTTCCACTGATGTGCAGGGGTGAGTGGTCCTCCTGAAGTCAACAATCATCTCTTTAGTCTTATCAACATTAAGAGATAGATTGTTGTCTCTACACCATTCTGCGAACTGGTTCATCTCCTCTCTGTACTCTCACTCATCATTGTTGTTGATGAGGCCAACGACTGAAGTGTTATCAGCAAACTGATGATGTGATTAGAACCGAACTTTGCTGCACAGTCATGGGTCAGCATTTCTTATGGCCTACTGGTCCACATTAATGGCTTATACATTTATTTTGAAATATGAAAATGACAGAAATCATGATGAAATGAAGGAAATAATTTATATCACAGGAAAGTCATTATGTCTATTATTGTAATTTTACTTTTTATTTGGAGAACTGAATTTGTTGTTCTTGAGTTATCTGGGATAATGTCCTGCTACTGTCCAGCAGTCACTGGAAAGTAGCATTAAAACATTAGCTTCTCTCAAACAGCATTTTTCATCAACCCAGTGATTAAACTGGCAGTTTTGAATTTTTAAAATTGAGAGATTAGTAAAACAAATGCTGCATGATTTGTCAATTTGATATTTAAAATTTAACTTGTTTAGCATCTGAAAATGGTTTATACTAAATACTGAAGCTGTTTTCCATATTTATGCAGTTTGATCAACAATTCTTTAATGATTTAATCATTTTTTATTATTCAATTTAAAGTGTTTCTTTATTGAACAGTGAATCATTTAAATGTAAAAAGCAAAGTGGCTTTAAGAAGACGTGAGTTTAAAAGGTACAAATGCACCTTATAAGTAAACTTCAGACTTTTCATATTTGCAAATTAAATAAGTCATTTGGGTCCCTGGAGGACTAGTGGTTAGGCCACAGCGCTCTCACTGCTTCAGCCTGGGTTCAATTCACGGCCAGAGAACAAACCCAACCACTGAGGTTACATGCAACAGTGCACTCAATTGAGGACGGTTACATCAGGAAGGGCATCTGGCGTAAAAGCTGTGCAAAATCACATATGTGGACCAATCATCCACGGTGGTGACCCCTAATGTTAGCAGCCGTAAAACAAACAACAATTAAATAAGTCATTTAATTACTTCATTTGATGACAAAACAGCATATGATATTTACAAGAGAGATCAATTCTGATTTACTACTCACCTTATTCTGAAAGCTAATAATATAGCAATAAGAAAATATTTAAAACTTATAGAGGTTGGGCTTAATTTAGTCACTTCCCCTAAACCCACCACCTACAATGAATTGGGTATACAGGGACTGAATCAAACTGAATTGTTTGACAATAAATAATAAAGGAACTGAACAAAAGGCTAAATACTTTTTCACAGCAGAGCTAGTCTGTAGAAATAGATCAGAAGCTACCTATTAAGACAGACACTTTGTGAGCTATAAGTGCCTTCTTGCTGGCCTCTGCCTTGGGCGCCTTTCTCCCATTTAGAGAGTTGGTAGCAAGACTTTCTCACCTCAAGGTTATGAGGAGAAGCTCAATTGTAAATTTTTTAAAAATTGTGGGTGTTGATCCTTTCTAAACTGGCTTCTCTTCATTCTCACCCAACAACTAATTTAAAGAACAGAAAAACAGTCATTTTTCTGAACGTTTGGCCACCACAGTGCAAGATTGTAGGCTGCTATAGTAGGTAAAACAAAATGGCTGTGAGCATCCAGCAAGCCCAGAAATGCTTATAAATTGTAAAATTGAATAAATTGTAAAACTACAGAGCCAACCATAATCTGGACAGTGATCCTTCTTGTTGTTTTGTTGACCTAGCTTCTGTTGCTTTTTGAAATGACACAATGTCCTGATAACTACTGTGGTTTGCGTGGTCACTCTCTGAGCTTTAATTGTGTTTCCATCAATGTCAGATTAGCTTTAGAAGCTTGCAGGTGTTCACTGCCTAAACAGAAAAAAAATGCATCACTGTCCAAATATTTATGTTTTGCCCAATACTGTACATACAGTTAGAAACAACAACAACAAAGTTGTTGTTTGTAAAAGAGATAGATCTGCCATACGTGAGTAAAATATATTTTTGAAAAGTTCTAATCAACCATACACAGTTCTATGGAAAACAATGGTTAGCCTGCCTCATGGTGGCACACAGGGAATAAGGAATAAAAATACTGTTTGGCAATGTTACTAACTGACTCATAGACAATTCTGTCAAAACTGCCAATCCAAGAAAGAACACATTGTGCTAATTTAAATTAAAATACAACAACTGTATAATTGAGACCCACTCAACATATAATATAACTGTATAATTGAGACCCACTCAACATCCTTGATCAGCCCTCGTGCTTCTCTGTACAGCATAAGCACCTCACTGGATGCACACTGACCTACGTGTGCTACAATTAAGTAAAAGAAGTGCTGTTTCCTCTTATTTGCTCAACTGGGTTTGAATAAAATATCCTTTAAAGTCTTTTTACGTTTCGCTAAAAATATAACTAAAGTTATGAGCACATTACACGTTATCCTCAACGCTAAATTGGATGACTCAACAAGGCCAACAATCCAGCTCGCCTGAGGAAATTTTCTTCCAGAAAACATACGCCTCTTCTCTTTTGTCCAACTTCAAGTCAAGTCCTGTGGATTTATTGTCATTTCAACCATATACAGCTAGTTAGTACACAGTGAAATGAAACAACGTTCCTCCAGGACCATGGTGCTGCATAAAAACAACACAGAACTACAAGAGACTACAGATTCCTTCATAAAGTGCACATGCAAACATGTGCAAACAGCGCAACACAGTGCAATAACTACCAAAACAGGACAATAGGCAAAAGAAGACAGTGCAGCGCCGACTAGTACACAGTTCTAGTTTCTGAGTATCGAGGAGTGTGATGGCTTGGGGGAAGAAACTGTTACACAGTCTGGCCGTGAAGGCCTGAATGCTTCGGTACCATTTACCAGACGGCAGGAGGGTGAAGAGTTTTTCTGAGGGGTGTGTGGGTCATCCACAATGCTGGTGGCTTTGTGGATGCAGCGTTTGGTGTAAATGTCTGTGATGGAGGGAGGAGAGACCCAGATGATCTTCTCAACTGTCCTCACTATCCACTGAAGGGTCTTACAATCCGAGACAGCGCAATTTCCAAACCAGGCAGTGCTGCATCTGCTCAGGATGCTCTCGATAGTCCCTCTGTAGAATATGGTGAAGATGGGGGATGGGAGATGGGCTTTCCTCAGCCTTTGCAGAAAGTAGAGATGCTGCTGGGCTTTTTTGGTTATGGAGCTGGTGTTGAGAGAACAGGTGAGGTTCAATTCAATTCAATTTTTTTTGTATAGCACTTTTAACAGTGGACATTGTCACAAAGCAGTTTTACAGAAATAAATACATTCAAATTAAATTAAATCACAATAAATTGTAAATGTGTGAATTTATCCCTAATGAGCAAGCCAGAGGCAACAGTGGCAAGGAAAAACTCCCTGAGACAATATGAGGAAGAAACTTTGACAGGAACCAGACTCAAAAGGGATCCCATCCTCATCTGGGTGATAATGGATAGTGCAATTATAAATCAATCCCTTCTATAACTGTGTACTACATGGACAAATAGTACAATTGTGCAACACAGTTAATTCATTACAGTTTTCACATGAAGTCTGATTTGTTGAACCTATCCACTGATGGAGACCAGAGAGCAAAACTGCTCGCAGCAACCACAGCTCCAAAGCCACCACAGCAATCGCAGTCCCAAGCCATCACAGTACAACTCCCCCATATGAGACCCCCAAGCCATCTCCACGGCCCCCAAGCAATACCATGCCCAGCAATCCCAATGATCTTCAGGCCGTCCATGTGGAGCCACCCCCAGCAGCAGCAAGCGATCTCCAACTGATGAGAACGCCAACCAGAAGTAGGGCATCAGGATGGATCAGGCAGGTCTGGAGAGCAGAAGGGGCCAAGATCACTGGTATCTCAGGAGTAGCATGTGTAGCTCGACAGAGTGACAGAGAGACAGCAAGAGAGAGAGAGAGAGAGAGAGAGAGGGAGAGATTGTTAGGTAAAGGATGGTTAAGGACAATGTACATTGTGTGCAGAGTGCAAGCAGATACTCCGGCAAGACTAGCTGTTACAGCATAACTAAAAGGAAGAGCCAGAAGGTAACACAGATAAAAGGCTGCCCTGGGACATCAAGCAGCCAACCACTCCACCGTCAACAAACCTGAGTGATTCTAATCGTTGATCATATGTTGTTATATTATTATCTACAGGGTTAGTTATAAACCTGTCTGGTTTTAAATTAGTAGCCTGAATTTTTTGCCTGATATTTTCAATTTTACCATTGAAAAAATTCATGAATTTATCACTGCTATATAATGATTGCGTGCATGTTTCTATTGTGGTCTTATTAAATTTGCTACAGTATTAAATAAGAATCTAGAATTATTTTTGTTATATTCAATAAGGGTGGAGAGATACATTGATCTAGCAGCACGAAGAGCTTTTCTATAGCTCAGAAGGCTCTCCTTCCATGCTGTTTGAAATACTACCAATTTAGTTTGATGCCATTTACGTTCTAATTTTTGTGTGGTCTGTTTTAAGGTGCTTTGTGATTATACAAGGGTGATAGCTTTTTCTCTCTAATTAGTTTTCTTTTACAGGGAGCTACCTTATCTAGCATGTAGTGGAACACTGATTCTAAGCATTCAGTTGCCTGGTCAAGTTCTTCGGGACCAGATGTTGATCCAATCATAGTTGATATCTCTGGGAGATTACTGATAAAATTTAATCCAAATGTTAGTATTAAATCAAGAGTGTGACCACCACTATGAGTCTTCTGGATTATCAAAAGAAATGTTAAATTCTCCAACAATTAATGCTTTGTCTAAAGAAACAACCAGGTTTATCTGAAGGACCAACCAGGATAGAGATGAAATCTGCAAATTCACAAAGGAATTCAGAATATGGCCCTGGGGGTCTGTAAATAATATTTAGCAGAATCGCCTGGGTAGACTTTTTTTTTGCCAAGTATGTTATGTTGGTATAAAGAACTTCAAACACGTCGAATTTATGACTAGCTTGAGATCGAAGGTGCTGGCTGTGCATTCAGTTTGATTTAATTTTATGTTAATTAGGTTACTAAAACAAACTTTCTGAGTATTTCTACATTTTCATTTAGCTCAGGGAACAGACACAGTCTCAATATTTTGGAACCTAAGTGACGATTCAGTGCAGTTAGCATGTGGACTGTTTAGCCTGCCTGTCCCGGCCTTGGCTCTGGATTGTCACCGATTAAATAGGCCTGTTCTCAGACTATGTGCTATGCTACAAGAAATGATAGCAGCACCTTCCCAAGTGGGATGGACACTGTTGCTCCCTAACAGGCCAGCCTTGCCCTCAAAACTACTCCAATTATCTATAAAGCCCACATTGTTTTTGGAGCACCACCTGGACATTCAGCAGTTCAGCGACCATAACCCGCTGTAAGCTACATCGCCACGCCGCATCGGGATGGGCGTCGGACATCGCCTTTGCTAATTTACATAACTCTACTCTTAGTAACCTCTGACTAATGAAGTCTGATGTCATTAGCTCCTACATGAATAACTACATGAATAAGACCCTAAGATTACCTGCTATGTCTGGCACTCTGGCTCCCAGTATACACCTATATAGTGCTGCTGGTGCCCCAAAAGGCTTAGCTAATTTCACGTGCCTTAAGATAGAGTTTCCTATGACCAGAGCTCTTTCAGGTTTCTCAGCGGGTATTTCATTGTGGCGAGCAAACCTGTTAGACACGTGAAGCAGAGAGGAGTGGTGTTCCTGTGGGCGAGCCTTAGCATTAGCTTTGGCTTTGCGATTATGCCACCGAGTCGTCACCAATTCACCCCGCTGTGAGGGCTCTAATGCTGGAGTTGGGGGATTGCTAACTCTGCCTAAGGCATCCAGA